TTCACAATCCAGTGCCAAGAAAGAAGTCAACTTTTCTTCCCCTATTTCCCTGCATTTCTCTTCTGTCCTCACTGCCACACGCAGCTCAGCCTGGAAGGCACAGCCAGATGTGAGATGCGTCTCTGCTGATCTGGGTCTGCCTGCAGCATGGACCTGCGTCTTCCATGAAGCATCTCCAGGGCTGGAGAGATAACTGGCAAGGTAAGGACCCCACAACCTTGTGCTGATGGACGGGCTGAAGGAGGGAGGGAGACCTTGTAGGAGACTGTGAAGGGGAAGCCTCCACTACCCTCATCTGGAAGGGCAGACACAGGAAGCACCAGTTCTATTTGCCGCTACGTCCCAGCTCTCAGTGAGACAAGGATAAACCAGACAGACAGTGTCTGGGGGTCAGGAAAGACCCCATTTCTGTCTGAAATGTCTGCAGAGGGCCCGGTGCCTGCCCCAACCTCAGACCTAAAGGAATGAGAGCCAGGTTCCTGGGGAGGGCAGTTCCACTTCCTGTGTGGCTGCAGATGACAAAACCCCATGACAAGAAGGACCCAGCCTCTGAGTGGCCACACGTGTGTCTCTGTCCTACCAGCACTGAGGGCTCATCCATCCACAGAGCAGAGCAGTGGGAGGAGACGCCATGACCCCCATCCTCATGGTCCTGATCTGTCTCGGTGAGATTTGAAGAGGGAGGGGAGATTCTAACCTAGGAGGGGCCTCACCCCACAGCCAAACGCTGGTGCATAAGGAGACCCCAGGGGCTCACAAAGATCCCAGGGAGGGGAGGACCTGCTCAGGCTTCAGGGGCAAATCTCTCACAGGGAACTCTCTTCCAGGGCTGAGTCTGGGTGCCAGGACCCACGTGCAGGCAGGTGAGTCTGTCCCCAGCTGTCCCACGTCCCTCCTCCTCACTGGGGACAAGGGGCCACCCCCGTGCAGCTGGGGATGGGGATTAGCAGATCTGGGCTGACTGATGGGGGCGTCTGGAGGGTCCTGCCATCAAGAGCTGAGATCTGTTGGGTGGGAAATGACTTAGAATCTGATCTCTGATTTCCTTCCAGGGACCCTTCCCAAGCCCACTCTCTGGGCTGAGCCAGGGTCTGTGATCAGTGAGGGGAGTCCTGTGACCCTCAGGTGTCAGGGGAGACTTCAGGTTCAGGAGTACCGTATATATAGGGAAAAAAACCTAGCATCCTGGGTTGGACGGATACGACAACAGCTTGTCAAGAAGGGCTATTTCCCCATTGGATCCATCACCTCGGAACACGCAGGGCGGTATCGTTGTTGGTATTACAGCCGCAATTATGCATCAGAGTACAGCGACCCCCTGGAGCTGGTGGTGACAGGTGAGAGGACACTCAGGGGTCCCAGCTCCAGGCTCTGTCCTCAGGAAGGGGGTCGGCTCTCAGGGGCGTCTCCCTCTCACAGCCCAGCCCTGGGGATGATGCGGGAGGTGTGAGTCCCATTTAACATGGTGCCGCCTTCTCTCCTAGGAACCTACAGCAAACCCACCCTCTCAGCCCTGCCCAGCCCTGTGGTGACCTCAGGAGGGAATGTGACCCTCCAGTGTGTCTCACAGGTGGCATTTGATAACTTCACTCTGTGTAAGGAAGGAGAAGACGAACACCCACAATGCCTGAACTCTCAGCCCCGTACCCGTGGGTCATCCCGGGCCGTCTTCTCCGTGGGCCCCGTGAGCCCGAGTCGCAGGTGGTCGTACCGGTGCTATGGTTATGACTCACGCTCTCCCTATGTGTGGTCTTTACCCAGTGATCTCCTGGAGCTCCTGGTCCCAGGTGAGAAATTCACAGCGTTGCCTGGAGTTCCCTGAGTCTCTGGGCAGGTGGGGAGGAGCCGCGTCTCAGGGCAGCGCCAGGTGGGATGATGTTGGGACGAGAGGGCTCAGGGCTCCTGGGGCCAGAGACACAGGAAGATCAGCAGTGGTGAGGCCCAGGGGGAGAGGGAGGGTTTGTGGGGAAGCC